CATCCACACAGGAAGAGTTTTTCAGAGACAGAACTGTTTCTGCTATTGGAATAAGTGCAAATATTTCAAACACTGAGGAAGCTCGACGTGTACTATCGAATGGCACTATTAAAAAAATTCAGGAATAAAAAAAAATTGTGGTTAGACCCCTTTTTTCACCCAAATTTCTACACTGTAGCAAATATGTCGTCACCTCTGTTCAAAATTCCATGCGGTAGGCACAATCACGCGGAGTTCAATCATTTAAATTGTTTTAAAGTGGCGTACTTGATTTTTTTCTCGTATTTTGTTCAATTCCTTAAACTGTATCATATTAATGTGCTGAATATGTGCACTTATTTGAAAAACACCTTGTATATCAACAATATTTTATCAGAGTAATGAACCTTGCCTAACATAATAGGGTGTAAATAACTATAACGCGCCGTTTTCGAACAAAATCGTTTAGATTAGACCATGAAATGACATGCTATAAAACCACAAAAATGTTTCTGTTATTTGGAATAGGTATTTTATAAAGCCAAATTTGCTGAAATCGTGAATCTTCCTACGTAAAAAATCTACTATTATACTACTGGTAATCACTTAAGGCCCACCCTCTATAATTATATTCGGAAAACCATAGGATAAACATTCTGACAATAAATTCCTTATTTGATTTTTTCATTCACACTTGCTGCATATCGATGCATGTAATGAAGAGCCACATGAAATGCCATCGAATGCTACTATCATCATAAAATGGTTGTTTCATCAGGCACACCAATGTTTTTATTATGATGTCATAAAATCACAGTGTCGTCACCATACCTGTTGAATAATCTAATAGTTCAATCCAACGACATCACAAAAACCTACTATCTAGACCTCTACCTATATTCCACAATCCACATAACATAGGATATCCCATATGATTATCACTTTCATGTCTAATTCTGGTCAGGATATCTCTGGATTTGACATGGACATCCATCGTGGATTTTTAATTGATATCCTTCAGAAGATATTTTGTGGATGGCATCGAAATATATCGAAATCAAACATAAAATTCTTATAAATTTCAAAATCACTGTTTGATAGTACATTATACATCAAGGGACAGGAATGCAAGATTTTCTCCAAGGTGCGATTTGTAGTTCGAGGGCGAAGCCTGAGTGAAACAAAGCATCGAGGGAAAAGTAGCATTCTGTCCGGAGGAGTATATACTATTGTTTCTACTCACATAACTAAAACACATATATCCACCTTTCATTTAGCGTACGGATATGTACCACGCTATAAATGGTGGATTAATCACGGATTGACGATCTGTGATTTATTCAAAAGATTAAACACGTTTCCATGCGACAACACGATTTCTCAAACACATTGTCATGGCAACACAGTTCATTAAACACAGCTTCAGTAATTTGAGACATGTCTGGCCTGTCAATTGTATTAACTGTCAACTGTTATTTCCAAATTTTGTATCAGAATTATTCAAACAATATGCGTTTTCGAAATGTATAGAAAGTGAAATCGAAGACAATGTTCTGGTACTTGCATATCTCCAAGAAGTATAAAAATGAAGCATCCATCTTTGAGAACAATTTATTTATTCTGCGCTAAGCATGACAATAAACGTGAAACGAAGGTTAGTAAGCAATGGACTGGACACATCTACAACCAATATCATTCTCAATTCCCATTCCTTTCGAATTATTTTGTAGGTTACCATAGTAGTAGCAGGTATGTTAATGTAATTTTCGGTGTTCGTAGAAAATGGCTAGTATGTAACGCGTTTATAAACTCTTCTATGACACTCGTTTATTAAAACTCGCTCCGCTGTGCTCCGCTCGTGCTTAAAATACTCATTACTAAAAGGACGTTTATAACACTTGTTACATAATATACTATTATACTACCAAGGTGAATATTTAATTTTGTTCACCACTAGCAAAACATTCCATCCTCTTTTAGTTCTGTGAAACGGAAATATAAATGTATTGTCACTATGAAAGCACATATTATCAATTCTAATTGAAATCTAGTAGCCATGACCATGACAGCTCATGACAAGTCGATATTGATAAATACATACTAGATTCGAGTGACACTAATGCGAATCTCGCATCAGAACTCACAATTCAGGTTAAATATAACAGGTGGCTATATGTCTATATCGACTAGTAGTTTATAAAATGATTCATAGATTCTACCTTGGGAGTAAAAACATACGTTTTGCCTCGAAAGGGGGTAAATAATGGTGGGTTCTATAGCTATAGTGGTGGAAAAATAATTGACATGTCAATGTACTTTGAATGGACGTCCCATGAAATAATAAAAATGGAAGTTCCAAGTTCGTCCGTTCCAAGACGTCTTGTTTATACCCTCGGAAATTTTGACTCGAAATAGTCATGAACTGTACGTCTCGGAGACATCCTGTGCTATCTGAGAAAAGTGGTGTCCCAAATGGAGAATCCCAAATTCTCGATTGCGCTCATGCTCTGTCGCTGCCCACTATCAAAAAGTCGAACCATCTCACCATTGTATTTTGTCTTAATGGGAAAGACCACTGAGGAAAGAAATCCGTGCAAACCTCTTTCAATCGACGAATCATGATTTACATTTTATGTACAATCAATATCATGAGTTGAAGTTGAAGGGAATCGAATCTATATTGTTTTGAAATCAGAATATTTCATTCGGTATTTCAAACAGCCAAATATGTTGGTGGAGTCGTGACGTATTAGTCCCGAACTGTAGCTATCTCTCTCTGATACCTCGTCATTCTGCAGTGTTGCAGTGTAATTGGTCAGTTCAAGGACAATAGGCGTGTTGGGACTAAGACGTCGCACCAGTCACACCAATGAATTGATAACATTTGAAATGGCGCAGGTATTGTGTGTTTTGAAATGGACATATACTAATTTATTTTTTTCATCGTCTCAGCATGAATGAAAAAATTCAAAATTAATTCACTGGTAGTTTTTCAGTATAGAGTTCACGATACTGTCGTTTTAAAAAATCAGTGGTCTTCCCCATTATCGAGAAGGTAGAGTTCAATGGGATTTTATTTTATTATACATCAGAGTGTTTGAACTTTAATGCTTCACCGCAGAGCTGCGTAGAGGTAGGTGTTAATTGTAAGTTTATTTTTTATGAATATTGAGGACTCCACAGTGGCGTATGGAAAATACTTCTCTATATTGTGACTTTAGTGACTTTCTATGATTCTTGATTGACATCTACCTTAATTGAGGCAATCCTCAGGAAACGGTTAAAATCATTTGTGTCGTTACAAAACCGTCTTCAGTTCAGAGAACAGAGAGTTAACTTGAATTAGTTAATAGAATGAAACTATTGGACCAACCTACATTTCAATGGATAACAAGAAAATATGCGTGAATTCGCTCAGATCAGTTCGCCAATAAAGTACCTATAATACATGTTATAATATAATTATAATGACCCTTTTAACAAATCAACCAAACTTGTGAATATAAAGGAATACTTATAAAAACGAATTTGCGACGAATATAATTTAGCTATCCAAACACAACCGGAGAAATTATATAGCCTTAGCAATTGAATTCGGGTTATAATATTCTCAGTTTTTCTAAGAATGTTTGAACAACTCATTGGAAAATATTTGATGATGGAAAAGACCAATAATTCAATACGAAATAAGTGAAAAGTATTCACGTGATCATCAGCACTTTGCCCTTCATATGGAGGACGTTATGAATATTTTTTCGATTATAAAAACTTCACAAACGATAAGATTTCCACAAAATTCTCAAACACACGACATGTTTCGATAAGACAGTAGCTTCGTCAGGTGATATACTGGTACAATGAACTAAACTAACCTTAGTTTGCCTAACTTCTATATATCCTATCGATTTATTGTATTTATGGACGTCCAGTGGATATTCTTGAGCCACAAACCTGGACGTTCATGAAATATCCTACAAGGATATTCAATCCTGTATGAATTTGAACATTCATCAATTGTCCATGTGTTATGCATGGGTTGTGGACATTCACTTGATGTCAATTATTTATAAGTTGTATGTCTTGTCTGTTGTATCTTTTCCGTCGACCTCGTATTAACGTAGGTATATATTCAATGTTTATGAAATTGTCGTTAATTTCCCCTATTCGCGATAGAAAATAAGCGTACGCCACCTATCGGAGTTCATGTAAGCTGTCAAAGCGGCATGTTTACTTTGTTTTCATTGGTTCACATTTGTTTTTTGTTGGTGCTTATTGGTCAGATCGTCTAAACAAACCGCTCAGAAGAGTTCAAGTTGCTGCCGTCAGGTGGAGCGACGTGTTATATCCTATCGCGAATCAATAATCAAGTCTATTAATGCATGATTGAAGTAATCGCGGTATTCAAGGTCATTATCTGACGTGGCTATGACGTTAAAACTGAGGTAAAACATTGCTAACTCCTAATATAGATTGAAAGTTGGACATATTTTTCCCCAGTTTCAACGTCATCGCAACTTCAGATGATGACCTTGAAAACCGCGAATAGCATACCTACACCGCGTCCATTCACTGTTGCACTATAACTTACGGAATCTGCATTTGAATCGAATATATGTATCGGCATCAAACAGTGAAATCTGTCATTCTCTGGAATGCCTAGTCATTTCACGTATTGCCGGCAAACAGCGTAACTCTAAATTTCGTACACCGTTTGCCTAATAGTTTCAGGCATTCCCTGCAATGACGGAAGGAAGGTTTATTTATGCCGAGTCAGCTTAGGTTGTTTAGAAGCAGTATAGTCTCCTCTGTTCTCTCAAGTAATTTTCTAAAAAATATACTTCCTAGGAAGAAGGTTCATTTAGGCGAAAAAATAGTCTCCTTTATTCTTATGCATATGCAGAAAGGATATTTTCCTTCCTCAACCCTCCGGCAAACAGAGTAACGGCTGAAAATAAAAGTTACGCTGTTTGCCGACAATACGTGAAATGACAGCCTCAAATATTGAGTTGTGTATTAGGTGTTCCAAATTTCAATCAATCATTCCGAAAGTTGTAGGAGAAAATTCAAAATACATAAAAAAAATCTGAAACTTTGACACCCTGTAAATCGGAAACGAAGCTCCCACGCATATATGTTTGTTTGAGATTTTTATCTTGAAAAAATGTCTTCTTCAAGCTGTTGAAGTCCTGCTACAAAAAACTGAAACACCCTGTATACCATGCACAGGAAGGCAAAAATCCCATGAAATTCAATAAATGACGAAACTCAACATCGTGTAGAAAATTTTTAAGCAAGGTAGAGGAACAAAATGAACGAATGTACCAAACAACTTGACGCACAGTTATATGTCACTGTTTTTCGCAGTCACAATCTTCAATATTCTTCGGCGTAGTCTCCTTCTCATCAGAATCCTCTTGGTCATCGTCATCATCTTCCTCCTCTTCCTCGGAATCCTCTTCATCTTCAATAGCTTCACCAGTAAAATAAAGCACAGCTCGTGGTATAACCCTCTCGCGAATGTAATGCCCGATCTCGAAATCGCTAACGAGTAAACACCTCAGATCTTCATCGACATCTTCATCCTTAGTTTCTTCTGGAATATTTGGTGGGTTGAAGAAATTGAAGAACGAATCGTTCTGCACCGTTTTTGTTACTGTACGCACCACCCCTGTGCTCTTGTGCTTCTGCTTCTTCTTGACAGTCTTCAACGTGACGTTCTTCCCCTTATTCCAGTTGATTTCACAGCCCGAACATTTGTAGATTTCAGGACCTTCGAAGCCGAAAGGATCTTCATAGTCTGGAGAACACTTCATCTCATACTCCTTGATGAGGATGGAATTGGTGAAGAATTGGTTAGGGCTAAAATGGAATTCAAGCAGGAATCCCATGGGATCTTCTTTGCATACGACTCTGATATCCGTTAGGTGTGTGAGTATTGGCACATCATGTGGTTTCACCATCTCTGACAGTAGACTTACATTTTTGAAAATTGTTAGCCAAAATTCAGGAATACCTTTCTGGTCCTCCGTCTCATTTTCAGGATAATCCACGATCTTCATTTTCTCTTTTAGAGCCTCAGGTAAGTCCTCTTCATCTGAAGGCCATTGGCATTCTTCTTCAATAGGCTCATAGCTACCGTTTACAATGATGCTGCGTTTTTCGAAGAGTGGCTCGTAGAGTTTGTGGTATGTACACTCCAGAGCGTGTACATCTTTGAAGAATTGTGCTTCAATGTTAGTAACCTCTAGTTGGATCTTCTTCAAAGCCTTGATTCTTCGTTTGATGCTGTGAGGAAGCACGGTAAGTATTTCTACGTTTCTCTCGTTTTGAAGTTGTTCTAGAACATCGGATTTCTGCAAGAGTTTTTCAGCAATATCTTGCAAGGTTTCCTCTTCCTCCACATATTCCAAATCATCGGGGCAATCTCCTACTTGTTCACGTTCAGTTGCCATAATGTTATTACGATTGTACTCTTGATCATAGGAAAATTTGGATATCATGCATTCTCAATGACAAAACATTTTATTATGTCAAGCAATAATATCAACTGTCAGTGTATGACATACACACGACACTGGAGAGATCGACTGAGAGGCTTATATTTACATGAAATTGTTTCTCAACTTTCGAACAATGACATCACAGGAAATGATACTCGGTTATTATTTGTGGACATTAATTACCTGCCATAAAATTATATCAACACGTTCTTTGAGGCAACCATTTATGAAGGTACTGTGACATTTGGATTCAGTTTGAGATAGGGGACAGGCGAAGCGAGATGACGCAAAATATAGAGATATAGAGTTACACAAAATGCGGTTTTTAACTACACTCACCGGCAGAAAAAAATCGTCCACCCTGTAACTTTTTTAATTCTTGTCCGATTTAGTTGAAATATCGACCAAATCGTATATTCATGTTTCGGAATGTTAGCCTGAATATTAGGTCCTGAGAGAAACTGACGGCTTGATTATTATACAGGAAAAAACAAAAGTTACTTTTTCTACAAACGTCAAAAAATGACTCGGTGAGAATTGAGCTATTATACAGTAAGCACTTTTACAGACGTGAAACACCGAAGGATATAACGTGCGAGATATATAATAATAGCATTATCCGCCGAGGTATATGTATATTTTTTCCAGTAATGATACTGAAAAATCAACATCTTCTATCAATTCGAATTAATAAAATTGTGATATATCACAATATGATTTATGATATAGCCTAGGAGTTCAGTTGTCAAACAAACTGAAAGGAACTTCGACTTGGATGTCAGAAAATGAACGCTCTATTGAAATTCCTTATAATTTTGCGAAGCTGTGGATATGGCAAGTGGTTGCTCTCAACAGATCATTATAATGAAGTAGGAACAATGTTGGTGCCAAAATTGATCCTTGTGGAACGCCGGAATTGATGCCAATAGTATCAGACGATACTCCGTCCACCACCACATTAGGCGATCTGCCTCAAATAACATTTTTGAATTATAGATATTTTTCAATTTCGAGTAGGTACTGATTTGTTTCGTTATGTGTGTCATTGATACAACCCAGTAAACACAAACATCCCCGGGATGTCACATTCATGACTCGCTAGGTAACAATGCGAATTACAAGGAATCATCATTGGTATTTGGACTCAAAATGTAAATTTGTGAGGCTCCCTGACAACCAAGACACTCACTGGAACCTCATTTTCTTGTCTATGTATGTAACAAACGGAATTTTGATGTAGAATGAGGAGTCGCTTAATACATACTGTGAGTTTCATTTGGCATCATGATGTGAATCATACAATGACCAAAAGGGTCCGGAATAGCAGTCATTTTGATTTGAGTGGGACTCTCATTTCAAGTCACGAATGTGCGATGTGTGGCATGAATGTGATGCCATTTAATATCTCTGGGATCAATCTGTGTTAACTGGGAAGAAGATTTATAGTATGAAATTATTACCCTTATAATGATGGCCATAACCAAATATTTCAGTCTTGAACCTTATATCATATTTAATATGGGTCGAATATACTTGTTTTTATTGCAGTAACGCAAAGTTTATTCTCCACTTATTCCGAAAAATATTCAGTTTATTCGTTACATTCAAACACTAGGTATAATAACCTACCACACCACTTATTTCTTCATTATAAAGTATCAATATGAAACGAAAAATGCCGACTAGTCGGCACCTCAACTCTTACAACTCGTCAACTACTATGAGCACCGCTAACAACTGGCGTAACATACGAACCCCAACTTTATCTTCACATTCAATAAGACCACAAATTCATTATACGTATTTGTTTCCGTGGTAAATTACCTCCCTGCGATGCTTCAACCAGTATCGTAACATAGAATTTTTCAATACGGAATTGAAGCTACCTAATCGAATTATTGAAAAAATGGATTATGCCGTATGAAAATATGTGAATTATGCTGGGTTTGGTTTAAACCGTTTTGGATGTTATTCGTGCATACACGAAGAAAATATAGATTAATAATTGAACTAAAAACATATATTGTAAGTACTTACTATGGACACGAAAAAATATATTGTTACTCTAATTTTTTTTATGTTCTGGTTCACACGAAAAGGGATATCCTGTAATGTTCAGAGAACATCGTGAGAACCAAGGAAAATGAGGTAGGAATTGGTGTTCTTCTTGAATTTCTGGCAATGTGTTCCAGAGCCTCGCTGTTTGTTGGATGAACGAGACTTTGTCACGTGTCATCGTTTTTCTTTTAATAAAAGATTCTTAATCATATTGATGTGTGTTTGCACCTTCATTACCCCTAATAACACAAGTTAGTCCAATGGACATCCATTGGACATACTCGTCTGGACAATCTGGATATCCAATGGACAACTAGAATGCGTACACGGGACTGCATATGGACATCCATTGGACATTCACTTTCCACCTATTTGGACATCCATAGGAAGTCCCAAACGGACATCTAATGGATGTCCATACCGTACATCCATAGGACATTATCACTGTACATCCATTGGATATCTAGAGTATATAAAATGTACATTTATATAGGACGATCTGGTCAATAAATAGAATCTATGTTTCTGGTATTACTTCAAAATGTGAGTAGGTATATTCAAGAACACTACAAATAATCTTCATAATATGAAATATAATATTAATGTAATATGTTATTGCTTTTATGGTAACTCCTTTCATCATTCCAGTTTGATACAGTTGATACAATCGATTTGAACCAATTTCTCAAGTTCACATTAATTTGCACTGAATATTATGTATAGATAGGCACGCAATTTCAGACCAGTTCTAATGTTGAAATCCTTAGACATCTTCATCAACACGTCCGCAATGGAATAATGGCCTTCATGCACTTGAATGAATAAGTGACTCATGTGTTCTTCGATCGAATGAAATAGCATCACGAAACACTCGTCGTTCACACACAAAAATTATGAAACAGATTATAACAATAATGTCATTATGAATAGTACACAAAATTCGAATGGATTGTATGGATATTACCAAAACGCTAGATTTGAGAATAAAATCATCAGTCTCAGGCGTTCTGTCCGTGCACCGATGTTCAACAACAACAAAAATGGCGGACGGCATCACACGGCCCCGGCGCTAACCCTGTGCACAGCTGTCGCAAGCGATGGAGCCGAACGATCTCGATGATACCCGAGACGAAAAAGCAACAATGTACATCATATGGACTGTGTATGGACTACTGCAAATTGATGTCCATTGGACATTATCTTATGGACATGAGTTGGACGTTGTGTTAAGGAACATTATCAGAAAGCACATGAAATGGACACTATATGGATTACTTTTCCTGGACATCCATAGGATTGCTGCCTGTGGACATCCTTTGGATGTCCAGAATGTGTCCATGGACACCTTGGACATATAATGGACACAAAACGGATGTCCAATGGACATCTTGTGTTATTAGGGACATCAACAGTTACTCCTGACAAGCTCATGTTGGGCACAGTGAGATCGGCTTTTCAAGAGAAAAGGCATGCTTGTGTTTTGTTTGCATTGAAATCTACCAAGTTATTGGATCCCCATTCGAGAATTGTTGCCAAGTCCATATGTTTGTTGTCAAAATTTCTCCCTCGTTCGTTTCTGATTTGCCTGGCTGGTATTGGAGTCCTAGAGGAGAAGGCGGTATGGAGGGTACTATCATCTGCGAAGCTGTTTACTGGACATGAAGTTGCTTCCAACAAATCATTGACATGGAGTAGAAATAGTGTTGGTGCTAGAATTGATCCTTGCGGAACACCAGCTCAGTCAACACACGAACATTCGATGGACATCCATTGGACGTCCATTTAGGATATTTGGGATATCCAGAGAATATCCAGTGATATCCGATGTATATCTTATGGACGTCCAATGGACGTGCCGAGTGGAAGGAGTTGGACTTCTATAGGATATCCTTCAGGGACATCCATAAGACATTTTTCAGGGATATCCATAAGATATTGTTCACAAATATCCATGAGATATTTTTCAGGGATATTTACTAAATATCCTTAACAATATAGAACACCATGTATATTTTTCCATAATGAATTAGGAACTATTAAAACGAATTCAACGGTACCGGATTGGATAGGGTTATTTCAAACGATTACGAAGATATGGCATTCGAAGTTTTCATATGCTCATTGAGGATATGGAAATGTGAATATCTTTCTAATCGTTTGTAGAAATCCTATCAAACACAGTATCGTTGAATACGTTATGATAATCCTTAACCGATTATGGAATAAAATACAGGGTGTCCCGTTTGAAAATGCCATCCTCGGTAAAACAAAAGTGCGGTAAAGCAAGTAGATATGTCGAATAATATAAAATGAACTATAATTCATGACCCCAATTGACGTTTTACTACCTACAATAATGAAAAAGTTATAGGAGTGAACCACCTTAAGCTTTAGCTCATACCTCTTGAAAGAATTCAATTTACCATGACTTTCGACATGGATGCATTTTTAGACCAATCAGAACGATTCTAGCCATGGAGGTTAATTCGAATTGAATTCAATCTTTTGAGAGATAAATAGAGGAGGCGAGGTGGCCGGATTTGAATCGCGTTATCCCTAGTGCAACAATGAAGCTATTTTCCGAAATGCTGTTAAGGTGAATTCAAGAATTAGATTCACTTAGATTTTTCCATCTTTCTTTTGGAAAATTTGTCATTCACGCGAATGCCATATTGATTTATATTTTATTGCTTCAGAATATTTTATTACTATCCATTGGGAAAATACCTACCCAGTTTTGAATTCAGGGATGCGAATATATCTTCTTATGGATCTCCATCTCAATCCCAAGGAAAAAAATGGAGATACAAGTTATTTCTGAAAAATCATATTTTTGTGCGAAAATGTTGAAGAACAAAAGTTATTTTGACATAAATATGATTTTATGTTTTCTTTGGATATCTTATGGCTATCCATAAGATATCTTCTGATGGATATTTGCTATAAATCCATGGATGAATATCTCATGGATGTCCATCTGAAGACCACAAAAAAGTAAATATATGAGAGCTATTTCCGAGTGATTGTATATTTTTGTACGAAAACATTGAACAACAGAGAAAAATTCCAAACTGTGGTGTTGTTATTTATATGAATTCATGTTTGCATCGGATATCTTAATTGTGGCTATAAACATATTATACCTACATAACAATTGTTATATATGATGGAAAA